TTTATGTGTATCTGGTGAGGCATGTGAAGAAAACCGATCCCCTTCCCATCGCTTTAACTGACCTATTAAACCTCACCGGGAAGGAGTTGGGGGTGGAAGGTGAATTTTCACGGCAGGCGGTTTGAACAATCCAAATATCAGTTCAGAGTGAAGGTTCCAATCTCCCAATCTGGTATCAAGCCTAAAAAAAATTAGATATTTTCTAAGATTTGCAGAACGGATTCGGTGGGCTCTCCAGTTGCTGGTATTGCGATCGGAATAACTCGGGGGGAGAGGGGGGACAACTCAGGACGCTTCGGATACAGTAAAACCCCTTTTTGTCCAAACATTTGCAGTGCTACAGAGCAAGTGCATAAGCATTGCTTTCTCCAGGAAAACATCTACTGCTGGCAGCAGCCCCCTTTAGCATCCAGAATAAAGGCTGCAATCTAAATAATACCTGGTCAAGGTGAGCACGGGCAATGGCTGCAATTAAAGTCAGCATATTCAAATCGTGGACGCAAATGGTAAAAAAGTGACAACTCACTTGCAAATATTAGTGTATGTCTCAGTGGCAATGACGGCTCGTGTGATGTATAAAGCGAACAGATCCCAGGTTGATTGCTCTGCTGGTGACCAAGGCAATATTCCTTTCTCAACTAATAGTGCTAAAACCACAAGGAGCAAGGATAGATCACTAATCTCATTGGTGCATATGGAAACCTGCTGTACGCAAATGCGATCCAAACGTGCGCGAAACAGATTGGCTGCTGCTGATCGGATTGTTGCTATCGAGATCTTGCTGCGCACAAAAGGTCACGAAAAACAGATGAGACTGATCATTGGTGGGGCTGTTGTTCATGGGATCTTATGCGCAAACGTCACTAAAGCAGACAAGAGTGGTCAGTTGTGAGATTATTATTCTTGGGATCCTGCCATGCGCAAACATCACGAAAGCAGACAGTGATCATTACTGGGATTGTTTTGTGGGAGCTTGCTGTGCGCAAACGTCACTAAAACAGACTAGCTGCATTGCCGATGCTTTTTGTTTGTACTGATCAGGACAAACCTACGGGACAGTTTATGCTGCTGGGCAGGGGAGTGCCTATTTTGTTGTATCCTTGATGGGATTGTTGTTCATGGGATTTTGTTGTGCACAAAGATTCACTAAAACAGACGAGAGTGGTCATTAATGGGGTTTTTTAATGGAATCCAGTTGTGTGGAAAACATCAAAGCAAATTAAATAGTCACCGACCTGACTTTTGATCTGTAGGATCTTGCTATGCGCAAAACCAGTCAGTCCGTAATCGAATTTCTGCTTGCGGGACCTTGCTGGACGCAATAAGCCACTAAAGCAATCTAGTTGGGCAGTGATCTCATTGCTGTTCCTGCGTACGTAGGATCTCATTTTTTACGGAATCCTTCTGCGCGCAAAACACCAAAGCAATCGAACTACTGATTGCTCCGATTGTTGACTTTGGGTTCTTGCACTGTACAAATCATCACCAAAATTTATTAAGTCATCACTGATCGGAGTCCTGTTGGCAGGGTTTTACTGTGCACTGGGCTAGCTGGGCATCGGTCTTATTGCTGTTTGTGGAATCTTGCTGTGCGCTAAAAATAAATTCACTGGTAATTGATCATATTTCTGTATAAGGTTTTGATGTATATAAGTGTTTCTGCATTTGCCGATGTATTAAGTCAATTGACTTCAGAATAGTTTGTAACATAAGAAACACTTTGACATGTAGCTGAAAGATACAAGGATATTACAAGTATCTTTTAACATAAGTAGTTCACACATCAAGTATTTTAGTTTCAACGTTTCAGTGGTATACCATCGGAATAAGTATTTAAGTTGTTCTTACGTTTTGATTTTGGTAAACCTAAGCTTAGAATATTTGGGGATTAAAATAGTAAATTGGCCAAAATCATTACAAATCATTCTTCAGTACCAGGAAAATTTGCTATAATTTTGCACCATCTCCATTTCCAGGATTCAGATGAATATTCAATACCCTTTCTTCAGCTGCCTACCTGTTTCAGAGCGAAAACCAATGGTGATCTCGACATCTGCGCTAAGAGCTGAACACATAATTAACCATAGGTGTGCTAATGATCAAGGCATAATCCAAGACAACTAGCCTGGCAAGGATTACATGTACTGCTGCACCAATTACTGGATGCAAAATCATTTGTCAGCTTGCCAGGGCTCAGTTGCACAGTTTAGCATTAGGCTGTATAGAAAGCAATGTATGCTCAATCGCTTGGACATGGACACTTCCCACAAGATCAGTAACTCAAATCCAATTCCCTCTCTCCCACCCCTCAAGGATCAAACACTTAGGTTAGCAATAAACTTATTAGTACCCTTACCAGATTTAATGACTATAAAGAGGATAATTCTTCAAAACACATGGCTCCATCTACTTGTTCTGGTGTTAAGTGGACAATAAGATTCCATGGCATTATTCAACTAGCAGTGATTCACCACGTTTTATTCAGCATTCTCCTTCAACCAACTCAACCCGAAAAGATTAACTGATCGTTCATCATCTTGTATGTACTTGCTTACAATATTAAGGACTGGATTTCGTGGTAGTTCATTGTATGTGAAACATTTTTTTGATATAAGGCATTAGGAAAATGAGAGTCTTCATTTTTATATATATTTTGATCACTTGGGATTTCCAATTCAACATGCCATGGATTCCTGCTATGTACTGGTTACTGTAGCAAATAATTTATTAGCATAAAGTATTTTACTGAGGAGTTGTCTGGTATCTCAGATGTGTACATCAGCCAAGAAAGCAGCATATTTACAACTGGGGTTGAGTCTCCTGTAAAAATGGTATAACATAGCTTATTGTGCATGTATCAATCAACAAATAACATAAATGTTACTGTTAATATACTGAAACAGTGTGCATATTCAACCTTTGATCGGCCTTCTTTTGAAAAAAAATGTTTTTTTGTTTCATTTCCTATTCTTACAATGTTATCTGTTGTAGAATACACAACACAACAAGGAGCGGTATGATTGAAATGCAAAATAATTGGAGTCATGATTGATGTTTGATATCAGTTGCAGAAAAATGTTAACCTCTTGCACGACTAGAAAACTGTGCAACCTTTTGTCAAAAGCATTTCGTAGTTTAAATGGTAAATGGATAGCAGGAAGTGACTAGGATTGCAGAGAGGGCTGGTATTAAAAAAAAGTTTTTAGATATTTGGTCAAATTTCACCATGATTGTGATTTAATTCTAGGATGATGTATGTCTCCTATATGCTAAAGTTTATGTAATACATTCTTCCAGTGTTAAGTTCACAGGCATAGATTTTTCTTACAGTTGTGGAAGATCATAATTCAACTCTCTTCATGATGGTAGGTTAAAGCATTACCTTTTAAATTATTTACCTCCCACCGCACCCCCTCCCTGGCACACACCTCGCAAAGCTTCCTTCTTTGAAATCATAACTAGCTAGTTACAGAACCATATATGAAACCAGCTTAGGTAGTTTCAGTCTACTTCCATATGAACTTAGTTCCTCAAGTCTGAATTATATGTGGTTTAGCACAAATTGCCATTCTCACTCCAAAGCCATGGAAAAGTAGTTCATGGAAAATGAAAACCTTACAACTGGTGTGATACAAGCTCTTTTGAGCTTGAAGACTAAAGCATACTATTAGGGTAAAGTAGAGGCAGTTTTGGTTTTACCCAACTGTTTGATGCTAATACTAATTCCAAAATTAGTTGCATTATCCATCCAGTACTGACATCCCTCAATTTGATAGACATGAAAATTCAATGTTAATTCACAGTTCAACAGACAGTTGCTTGCCCTTGTTCAGTGGATATTTGATTCACAAAGGAAGTAGGAATGTGATGTTATGGAGATTGGAAAAAATGTAATTTCAACTCCCATATTCAAATTATCCTCAATTGGATTATTTTACTAATTGATTGTTTGACTCTGAAGGAATGACACTTAATGAGCAACCATGACTAGTTCCGACTGAGTCACTTTTCTAAATTTGCACTCCTTTCTATCATTTAGCATTCATTAAAATGTTATAAGTGCCTGTGGTTTCAGTTAGTATTCAAACCCTAGAAATGGACTCACCCCAAATACACAAGGGAAAGGAGAAGGCTTTAAAATTTTATGGGTCTGTGCAGTTTATTGAATATTTTTGCTTGCTAACAAAATCAAAGACATCTGTAAATATTTTTCTGAATTACTTTCTAGTCTGTTATAATTTTCCATTTCTTTTTAATTCTTTAGCTGCACGCTGGAGTGGGTCTGGGCCAGGGTACAGCTGTGGAGATATTCCTTACTCTTCAGTTCGTTCTCTGTATTTTTGCCACAACAGACATTCGCAGAAATGGATTCATGGGCTCAGCAGCTATCATCATTGGTTTTTCTCTCACTGTGGGTCACTTTTTTGGGGTAAGTCTGCAACTTTCCACTTCAACTTTACAAAATAGAAAATTAATAGAAATGAAACTAGATAAACAAGATAATGAGCACTTTCCTAACTTACATACTATTGCTTGGTGTGGTACTAAGATATACAGACCAAGAAGATGCCCAGTATGTACTGAGTTAGCTTATCCTGGCCAGGACACAACTGAGGTACTAAAAATGACCAAAGTCCCCACTTACCTCTGGGCTAGGAAGGGGAGACAAATTGCCTGGGGCTCATGCTCTCAGTCATTATTCAGTAACTTATGCCAAAACGTACACGTATATGAACATCAAGCAAAGACAACTATCACACTCAGTTTGCTATTCAGGGCAATTTCAAATTGATTTTTTTTTTTTTTACTGTGCCAAATCAAATTTCAATTGTTTTAGTGCACTATGATAAAACTTTCAATATCAGACTTAAATGGATAGTTGGAAAAAAAAATCAAATTAGACTTCATGGTCCACTGGAAGAGTTCAGTTTGATAGGCAATTCATCTTTTCTCTTTACATACACTGTGTAGCACTAACTGTTGGAAATCAAAATGGAATTAAACTTGATCGATAAATGGAATACTAAGCTATAACTCGCATCTATCTTATGAATTGAAGTTTAAAAAATTTTGAAATTATGCTTATCTTCTTTTTATCCAGCTGTATTATACAGGATGTGGAATGAATCCAGCCCGTTCCTTTGCACCAGCCATACTTACTAGAAACTTTGGAAATCACTGGGTAAGAACAAACAAAATTCAGCTAAAATACAGTGGGATGCCGAACAAAGAACACTTAACTTGAGGCTGTTAATTTCTTCAATTGCTAGCCAGGTAACCACAACACACTAAGTTAGAAACCATAGAGATTTTTGTAACCCCAAGAACTTTGCAAAGTTGCCCATCATTTCAACTCATGACCAAGGATTCCTCAAATACAGGTCAACAAGGTTATTACAATGGGGACATGGTACTTATTTTATTTATCCTAGTACACATCTGATCTCATACTCAATTAGAGTCACACATGTAATTGCTTCAGTTTAGAAAATGCATCAATTCAGAAATTTCAGAAGTTCCAGTAAGTCTCTATGTACCAGCTTTGAGCTAGCTATTCTTCTAAATATTCTTTAAGCATATTCTTGATTCCCAAGTAACCTGAAAGACTACTTTAAAAAGGCAAAATGGCCTCCTCCATGGCTTTAAACTACGACAGAGGGATTTATGTTCTAATTAAAACGTGAAATTCTCCATAATTCAGCACAAATTGTCAGTATACATTATCTAAATTAGATTCTTAAAGACTGTCATGAGAAACAAAAGCATCTCTTTGGATCACTACAGGGTCTGATAGAAGGGTAACTTTATTTGTTTTATAATTTAAAAAATAAAAAAATTCTAAGCCAGTGAAAAAGATGGATTTTACTGAGAAACTGCAATGTTGCAACTTGCAATCTAGAAGCAAGAATAGGAAATGTGTGTGTGAGGGTGAGGGGGGGAGG